GAGGGGATTGGAAATTGCCTTGGCTGATTTCATTTCGGGCCAGATTATTTTAAGGGGTTCCGTTCTCCCTTTCGTTCCTAGTCTCGCACCGCCCTTGCCCCCCCCCCTCCTTGCGCCGCCGCCGCCCCCGTCTGCCCTTCGACGTGATTAATGCGACTCTGGACGTGGACGCTGACGATAGTATTGGTGCTGGACTGTAGTGGTGCTGGTGGCAGCGGCGTGGTGGTTTGAGGGTTGAGATGACGAGTCGCGGCTACTCGCGCGACGTCGGATTAATTCGCTCGAGCACGCACCGGAAGCGAGCCGAGATTGTTAACCCCTTCCGGCCCAAACGCATTAAAGGTGGATATTATTTTTGATAGCATCTTCGCCGATGAATAGCGTGGAGTACGAATTAAAACAACTTCTGGGCCGTTCCCAGAAAAAATTAATTAAAGTCAACTGAGTCTCCTAGTTGTTATCTTTGAATTGCATCACATAATTTATTATGATGTAGAGTTTATTAACCCGAAAGTATGATTTTCAACTGAAAAAAAAAAAATCAATAGCGTTACGTGCCCAATGTAATTCCGCCATACACACTGTTAGGTAAAAAGAACATTGGTAATTCAATTCCTTAAGTTAAATAACATTTATTATTTTTAATTTCCACGTGTCAAAATATGAATCAAGCTAGTTCTGTGATTAGTTTTAGAGTAAACAATGTCTGTACTGACGTATGCACTTAGTAAATAATACACAAAAATTGAGTCAAATTTAATATATTTGAGTTAAATTGTTTAATTCCATTGTTTTAATTAAATTAACGATACATTAAATAGAAGCAATGGCGATCTATGGAAATTGTTAAAAATAATTCAAATTTATAGAAATCTAATACTGTTCTGTGAATACGTATTCTGTGAATATTGTAAAACAATAATTAATTATTTATTTTAAGTATTAAACTGTTGTTCTCTAGTATTTCAAAAATAGAAATTAATTACTATCTTTCATTAATAAATTGATTAGTATTAGATTTCTATAAGTGAATATAATTTGACATTTGACGCGAGTTTAACAGTGCGCATACAGACGCGTTCTCTCTATCTCCCTTTTTTATGTTTAAATTTCCGTATTTATGTCTCAACGCTTCAGGGAAAGTCCCGGAATGTTAAACAAATAACGATTCATCATCATCCCTCTTCAATTGTAAAACTAGTAAAATCCATCAAAACAAAGCGATTTCGTGATTTGGGTTGTCATAAGCTTTAACCGAACAATTAATTGCAATGCATTTTATTAGACCGAACGGCAATTTTTCTTTTTTTTTTATAGCGAACAACGGATGTAACGGCATGACGCGACCGATTGCCGGTCACTCGGCGCGCAATTCTAAAAATGAAACAGCCCATCGAGCGAAACGACCTCGTAACGCAATCGCGGCAGCATAAGTTTTCAGTTATGGGTTCACTTCCGCGCCGTAACGGAAACCGCCCGGCGTTTTCGGAGGCGCGTATCCGCGAGTTTTAAGGAGTTCTACGTCCCATTATAAAGTCTTCACCGCGCATAATACCATTCGACTCTGCGGGCTGGCGGGCATTAGGGAAATCGCGTTTCCACCCTTTTCGTATTAGCTTGGCGCCACGAGAAAGAGAGCCGGTTACCTCCTCCTTCGACTCCCTTCGTTCCCGCCACACTGTGTTCACACGTTGAATGCGACCTTCGATCGGATTTGGTGAATTTCCACACGCCGGGACTTACCTCGATTTCGACTCCTCGTGGCACAGCAAAAAGACATATTGTCGGATGGGGAGTGGAACGAAGAAGCTGGAAACAGAGGAGAGGGTGATGACGAAGGTGGAAGAGGCAACGTCCCAGATGTGGAACGCGCATAGGATCTGCCGGTACGTCGAAGATGAAGTCGTAGACCCTCTCGACTGGAAATGAAAAACGCTCTTGGAATACACCAGGTTGTATTTATAAGAATGTTATATTTTCTCGGTAGTAATGGAAGCTGCCTTCCCCCCTCGCGGGGATTAGGCAGTCGTTAATATTATTAATAGAGCCCTAGGTAAGTGATATTATATACAGATGGATAAAAAATGGGAAAGTGTCGTCCCCCGTGTCTCTTCTCTGTCCTACGTAGGGAGACATTGTCCTCTTCGCCCCGTACTGCTTGCCCTCCTGTCGTCCGATCTGTTTCCCTCCGTCGTGTCGCAGGACTTTGTACTAACACGATGCGACAGTCGTCGGGTTCGATCCGTTGCTCTTCGAATTTATAAATGTTCGATGTAAACTAATTTCCCGTTACGCGTCCTTTCTCTCGGATTTCGCGTACCTTGTCAAATTACAAGTGAATATCGCTTCCTTCGAATTTAGATTAGCAACTTCAATTATTATTTTAACTGTAATGATAATTCTCCATCCCCTTCAGCATAAAAACGATTAAGGCTCATTTTTATCAAAGTAGATAATTAACTTTACCTCGGTTTAATTTACTCTTTATCTCTTTTTATAATTCTTACAAGGAGGGAGAGCCAAGTAGTGTACACACGGATTTCGCCTAACTTTAAATATGTTTTAGTACTTACCTTCTAGATAAGTGACACAGCGCAATATTTCTGTATTCGCAAGAAATTTGCATCGAAAGTTTCTCATACACTTTTTTTTCTATGTAAATTTTTACAGAATGTGCATTAAGTGAATAATTATTCGCCAAATCCCTTGAGGAGATGATAGAGGGTCCCCGATCCACAATCGAATCCACGTGACCTTTGAAAAATTTTCGCGGGCACACAGTATAATTATGCGATGCATGTAGTAGAAAAATTATTATTTTATAACTATAAAATTAATTTTTAACACATACATGAGTAATATCGAACATGCGGAATTTATAATTAAAAATTCCAAAACTTTTAATGCTCACCACTTGTTTATGAATTAGGATTACTAAAACAGATTTAAAGTTAAGCAAAATCCGTGTATTTGACCTCTCTTTGTTAAAATTAGAAAAAAATAAAGTTAAACCGAGATTAAAGTTAATCTACATTACAGATTATAGGTAGAAATGAACATAAGGTCTGTAATACGGATCACTAAATGATAGTATCCACGAAAATAAAAAAGTGTTGCCATTGCTAACTATGACACGGAAGAATAGTACATTACAGTTATTTTCAAGCGCAACCGGCCGCGAACGAGAGAAAGCCCGGATGTAATGCGGGAATGAGACGGACCACAGTATTTCCGGCGTCGCGGGAAATTGCTCACAGTTAATAGCGTTACGAGCTCGCAGTTAATAATGCCGCGGCGGCAAACGCGGCAGAGAGCGTTTCCGCCGGTCTCCTTTCTGATCTCCGTATGATTACGAATGTATGCCGTTTGGCGTTTGGTATAGATAAGCGCCGCCGTATTTTTGGCATTAAAGCGTTAAAGCTAAGTGACTAAGCCCCTCGCTCTGCTCCGATGAGAGCTCGCGACTGTCGGACAGCGGCGGATTATGGAATACTTAAAAACCTCCCGTCATAAACCACTTCAAGTCTCTCTGTTTTGCTATCGCCAACGAGAATTTAAAATCATACAAATTAAAATAAGTATTGTCAATGGTGGAACGATTACATCGCTCATTTGCTGTAACAACAATTAAACGACAATTAAAAAAGCAAAATTTTCCAGAAAACAAATTTCAATATTTTCAATTATTAAATTTTGCATTGAATAAATTTAAATGTTATAATATTAATTTAAAAATGCAATTTTTATATAATAATTGATTATAGATGAATAAAAGTATCTTTTTTTCTTTATGTGTTTTTTGCAAGTAATTAAAAAATGACAATTTTGTAATCATGTTGTAGTAAATGAGCGATATGCTTTATCGTCGCAATAATAACGTGTCTTGTGAAATCGCCCGCGAATTTCGGAGGTCCAAGCGATAATCCGCCGCTGCTCTTCGCCGTCGAGAGCAGCTGAAGCTTATAAAAAATAATTCGCCGTGACGCGTCGGGCTGTCTGAAACTGAATCTTTCCGCGGCGCTCGCTCCGAGGGGTTCTTAACCTAATGTCTTTAATTAATCTTTGGTATCGGCTGTCACGTGAGCCGATCGCGTCCAACTCGCGACGTAACACATAACAGAAATTTCACGAGACTAGAAGGGCCACGAAGAAGAAATCGACCGATGCTACGGGACGATGGAAAATTTAGCGTTAATCTTTGAATATCTCGAAGATAGTTGGGGGTACCAACTGTCTTTGCTAGCCCCTCTTTCGATTTTTCAATTTTAGAAAGTAAATATTCCAACGACTGAATTAATAAGAAGATATAATCCGTTGTATTATCATTAATTATTAATTAGTGGCATTACGCAAAGAATTAATACGAAACTTGTCGATAATCGAATAATATACTCTCATAAATCTAAAACGGAACATCAAAAATTCAACAATAAAATTTCATTGATATATTTACACCCTATTGATTGTACTAATAACTGAATTTCTAATAAATTTTTTAAACTCAACTTTCAGTTTCGTACAATAAAAAAATACACTATATGTATTTAGTAAATACAATACAATATAATATTTTAAAGAATTCGAAAATGTAGTCACACTATGTCTTATTCAAGATGATAAAAAGATGAGTGAAAATATGACTATCTTCTGTGAAACTTGAAAGAAGTAATTTTTTCAAAAAATAATTTGCAATCAAAATTATACTACCGCTTAAATAAAAGTATTTGTTTACCCAAATCTTTGTACGTATCTTTTCTATATACCTAAATTCCATTTTAATTGTATTTTTTTTACTGTATTTAGAATTAAAAAATTTTAACTATTACACATTATTGTTAAGTTCAACATCAAAAAGAATAGAAAGGAAAATAGAAAGTTCACTCTTTTAATTCACTCTTCTTCATTTAATTCAGAAAGATAGAAGGAATACTTTTGAGAGATAGTATATTTTTATTACTTGTTACGGTACAAAATATTTGACCACTATTAATTTTGCCATTTTCTTGCTGTTAATAACAAACATCTTAATAATTACAGATATACTCTTTTCAATCACATTCAATTTATTGGAATATTTACCTTATAAGATGATCGTTTTATTTCCTTTCCCTTTCGTGGCTGCCCGTTTTCGGCTGGCTGTAAAACGGGAGATCGCGGGATGCTATGGCACGTGTTACAGAACCCCTCGCGTCCCTTTCGCTCACTTCGCTAAGGTCCCTCTTCTTTCGAATCCGGCGCTTCTGCGTCCTTACGCATGGACGACGGCGGTTATCACGAGCGGGACAAGAGTTATCTCGGTGGGCGTGCGTATACCTGGTAATTGTTTTCGTTCTCTCTCTTTCTCACTTTCGCGGAGTCGATTACGACACAGATATATTTACAGAACGACTCCGCTGCTTGCACACATGCGTACGCAATTCTCGCACAGATCCACATTCGCGCAGAACCACATTCGCCCCCATCTCGCTAAAGAAATATATCTTACATGAATTATCTAATTTATCCTTATGTGTGTGTGTGTGTGTGTGTGTGTGTGTGTGTGTGTGTGTGTCGAGTGTCGTGTCGTATCTTACAAGACGCGTACGTGCATCGGCAAACAACGCAAAAGTCTGAGGGACGCCTAAAAGACAGTCTGGTGAATGTTATGACGTCATTTAAACGTTTGCGTTGCCCGGAAGGAGTATATGCGCTTGTGTTTAGTGTTACGTTCTCTGTATGTACCTGTATGCCTGCGTAAATACGGTGTGTCGAGCTCCAGCTCGCGCCACGCGCGTGTCCTACACTGTATTAACATTAACTTCCGTTAAATTTTGTGTTCATTTTCCACGATCACAGTGATTTCAATCTCCCAAGGCTCATCACTTTGTCCACGAAGCCTCGGATTCCACTTCGAAGTCCGTCCGATTCCTCGCGCGTTTGACGTTTCCGCCCCTCCCTCCTTCATTCACATCCCTTGCTCGATCTCTCTATCTCGCTCCCTTCAATCCTCCTTTTTTTTTTGTCCATTCCGTCATTCTTGGCAACGTATACCTTTTATCTGCTTTTCCGTTGCCCGGAATCCACGGATTACATTCCACGAGCGAAGAGAACTCCCGTTTTAATAACCGCTGAGACACCTGAGCTTCTTCAGAGGCGGCGAAGCCTCGTTTCAGCTGGTTGGCGCCTGCATGGACATCGGGGGTGGCTTCACGGGCCCGAGGGCGGGCCCAGACAAACCGTTGTTGTTCATATCACCCGGTGCCCTCGGTCCGCCGACCCCTATAGTCGTCCCGTTCATCGTCGGCGTGCCACCTGACATTTGACCCTGAAGTCATAAAAGGTTTACGAGACGTGAGACGTTATTCTCACGTCGCATCAGCGATCGTTGCAAGTCTCGATGGCTCTACTGATTGTAAAAAAATATTCTTACTGGTTATATCAACAAGAAGTACAAACAAAACAAATTCTGATTATATGAATCATAATTCTGATTGCCATAATTGAATTTATAGTTAGCTTTGGTTAGAATTTAATAGATTTAACTGTAAGAGAACTTTCGAGAACACACCGAAGATGGGGTGCATAATTTTACATGTCTCTATAAGTGTCTGACTTGTACTTGTCTAGTTAAATTTATCAAAATTCTAATCAATATAATAAAAATTCATAAATGTTTTCATAATATTGGGAAAAAATATGTATTAAGATTTAGTAAATCTTTCTTTCAGTGTGTACAAATTATAAGGAAAAAGTCTATCTCACTCTCTCGCCGAAAGATTATATCGCTTAATTGTATAATGAGATAATTATTAAAAAATTATTATGGCGGAAGTAAAATAGCAAAAACAATATATAGGGAAATTATAATTTCATGTGCTCTATTATTCTATTATGTTGCAAATTCTTGTTTACGCTCTTATCGTTGATTCATTTCGCGAGTTTGCTTTCGACCATTCATTTCGACAGCTTGTTGGCACTTACGTTGGGCACATGATTGTGCTGGGCCACCGACTGCCCCAGACCTTGATGAGCCTGGAGTGGATTGTGTCCCGGGTGTATGTTCTGGCCCGGGGGCGTTGGTGTAGGGGGGAGTTGCCTTTTGATGTATGCTAATGAGGCGGGTGATTGTAACGCCATATTAGCGAACGCTAGCCTCTCCTCGTAGTCGTACTCGCAGAGAATCTTGTTCTCACACAAGTAGAACCGATCGCCTACGCAAAACCTGTAAATAAAAGAAAAGGGAACACGCTATATATTGTCGGAAGTGTAGCCCGCGTCGTGAATTTGCTTTTCAAGAACATTTCATAAATACTAGAGTTCTATTCTAAAAATCCACTGATAACAATTAGACTCTCAATTCAAGACATTCATAGAGAGGGAAATTAGTCCTTGACGTCATTAGAAATGTAAAAAGAATGCGTACGCCAATTGTTCGTCGGTCGTTCGTCGCGAGATTTAAGCAAGTTCCGGCAAGACTCAGAGAAAGACTCGAAGAGAAAGCGATTAACAAATGAGGCTCGATCGCTGTGCTCCGGTCGACCCCGCGTCGGTTCGTTACTCCAAATCCGATCGATCGATCGGCGCGAGGAGGAAAAGGGAGGAAAAGAAAAAGCGGCGAGGAAAAATGAAAAAGGGAGGGAGCACGGAAAAGGAGTTCGGCTGGATAACGAGCATATCGTAACGTATCGAACAAATAATTATTACTGGGGCCTCTGTTCGCGAGAGAGAGAGAGAGAGAGGGGGGAAGGGGAGGGGAGGGAGGGAAGAGTGTGGCCTCGCACACATTCGCTTTGATCCCCGGCTAGGAAATACGAGAGCGAAATACGAGAGCACGGCGGTACACGGCGCGGCATAGCGCCGTGCTGGGTCTCTGGCTCGGGGTAGATACTCTCATAATCGCACGGCAAATAGAATTATCGCGTTGCTGCGCGCGTGGCCGTGCTGGCAGCAAGCGTATGGGTTGTACCGGGTTTCGCTCGTTTCCCCCATTATACGCGTCGTCTGCTAAATGACGCCACACTCCAATCGGATACCTATCCCTCTCCGTTTCCCTTCGCTCCTCGCCCTGCCATGCAACCATCCCTCCCTCCTTTCTCCACCCCTCCCTCCCCCTTCTCTCTCTCTCATTTTCTCGATATATCTACCAGTCACTGTACTTTTAATCCGGATTTACCTAATTATTTCGCACTGATTAACTGCACGAAAAATATGTTGCCATGTTTGACAAACAGTAGGAATAGCGTAAATTTATCTTATAAAAATTAAATGTTCATTTCTTAGAATGCGTCAAGCTTTCTTCTGAGGAAAATACGAAAATTATTTTTTTTATTATTTTTATTATTTTTAACTTGGAAATAGTTATTTGGAGTGTTATATCGTAATAGCGAAAAAAATATAAATTGTAAAACATAGTTTTGTACGAATATTGTTTAACATATTTTCTTTTTTTTTTTTAATAACTGTGTTTTACGAATTTTTAAATATACAATTTCATCGAAAATTTCGCAATAGAAAAGCGTCATACTTTAATCTTTATTTTTTGGAAATATTGTCATAATAATAAGTTACTATTAGTAATGTGCTTACTCTGTTAAATATTGGTGTGGCTTCTACTTACTTTTTTTAGAAAATTGTGATTAAATTTATATTTATATCCTCAAATACTAATAAATTGAAAAACAATCAATAACATACAATATAACCATATCAAGAATTTTAAGCACGATATATGTGAATACATCAAATACGATAAAGAAAGTCAAGATCGGTCAAATTTAGGATGTTACAAATAATACATTATATATTCTTTTATTAAATCAATAAATATCTGGAATAAATTGATTTAATAAAAGAATATATATTTGTAACATCCAAAAATTGGTTTTCTTGGCGATCTTCGCTTTCTTTATCGTATTTGATGTATACAATATAATAATAGTGATTTTAATTGGAATAAAATAACTGGTAAAAATAACTCAGGTGATCGTTTACGTAAAGGATTATTCTTGGGTTAATGTTGTTTATGTCATCAAATAGTAATAACAATAAACAATACGAAGAAATAGCCGAGATTTTTGTTCCTCACAAGAAATAATTATAGCAGGAAACTATAACGTTTTGCCTTTGAAATCACGATAGATCAGAAATAAAACGATGAAAAAAACAAAGTTTACAATGAACGCGAATTAAACGAATTAATTGAAATAATGCTTATCGTTATCGCAATCGATATTCCTATTGCGTTTCATCATACGTGCGCGATATAATCGATGGAAGCATATTTGTATTTCACCATTAGCCATTTCTCATTAATGTTGGGGCGGTTTGAGAGGCTGGAAGGAGAGACGTGAGGGAGAGAAAAAAAAGAATTAATATCCGGGTTCCAACGGCAATACTCTCGACGATTTAAACGAAAATAATCCTTGTAACGCTTTGGAATACCTTTTTCGGCCGTCTGGTTAGAGGCAGATACTGCGTCGTAATTGCGCGGGCAATGGAATTATCGCGTTGCACGAGCGCAGTCATTCCCGCGGCCTTCCATTATGCGCGCGCGAATAATGCCGCGCAAAGCCCGATCCTTTCTCGCGAAAACGGTGCAAATGTCTGCCGTGGAACGATATCAGCGCACACGCTGCCCCGTAATTTTCCACCTAGTCCCCGCCCTCCCTATGCATTTTTACTCTATGCTATGTGATACGTCGTGGAGGTCCAAAATCAGGATCAAAGAACATCAGGAGAAATGCGCAGATACTCTATTCAAGTCGATCGTATTGGTCGATTGATTGACTCGATAAAGTCCTGTTTAAAAATTAAAACTAAAACAGGTAAAATTTAAACTGGTAAAATTAAAGATAGTTTAAAAATATAAAATATAAATAATAGGGAGCATACAGCCACAACACTAGATGTTTTAAGCGTAAGTCATATATTTAACATTATAGTATAATAACGTTATTATATTAATAATGTTAAATATATGACTTACGCTTAAAACATCTAGTGTTGTGGCTGTATGCTCCCTATTATTTATAAAACAGGTAACTTGTGACATCAATTATGATATCTCTATAGTATCGTTCATTTTTTGTTATCAATAATTAATTAATAATTTAGAAAGTAAAAAAAAAGAATAAGTTTAAGATCATCAGAATTGCAAAAATATTTTTTAATAATTCTCGATGACATTTATCTATTGTCTATTTACCACAAAGAGAAAATGTAGAAACTGTATGATATAGTATTAACAAGGACAAATCCTCATCTCAAATTTTAACAAAAATTTTGAAAATTTGACGATATAATGGATTAGGAAAAAAGTCCTTTTTACATATGTGTAAAAAAAGTTTCTTCCCTAATATAGATTAGGGAAAAAGTCTTATTACATGTATGTAAAAGGACTTTTTCTCCGACCCATTATAAAAGATATTTTAGTGTATAATAGTGATGCATTCGAGCAAGACAAAACGAGAGAATATCGATACTGAGATTTAGGCTCTACAAAAAAAAATTATTGATACCATTTTTTCGTCTCAATGGGCCGATATTCTCGCTTCCCGAGATTGCCGAATTATCTCGAGACATACGAGAATATCGACTATCTCGTTTCATTTATTTGAAATATTTATGTAATCAGGCAGCACATCATATAATTACAATTGTCATAAAAATATCGAAACGAAACGAAACGAGACGAGACAAGACGAGAAGAAGAAATGACGTATGCGATAATCTCGGAATTCTTTTAATGACACGAGAAATTCTGAGACGATATTCTGAGATTCTCGAAATGTATCACTGGTATGTAATAAATTTTTTTTCACTGCTCAAATTCACCATAAAGATAAAATTAAAATTTATTTAAAATACATATTTAAAATACATTATTAGTCTAACATATAATTTTGACCATAATTAGTGCTTCTTGTATTTAGTCAATTTATTCATATACGTTGGTCCTGTTTCTGATCTTAATTATTCTTAAAGATTAATTTTAACTCTTTATGATGAATTCAGGACAAAAAAATAGTCCACTACATATCAGAATATCCTTTTTATATTGTCAGTTTCATAATTTTTTTAATTTCCAAATTAGGAATCTTCTCTTGCAAGTCTAAAAATTACCACAGCAACTCTAAAATGTACCGCAAGACATCTGCGCGTTCAAAATGAGTTGCATCGAGTACTGATTATGAAATATTTTTATTCACGACCATCACGAGCGAAATATTAAAATCGTGGACAAGCAAAGCCCTTTCTACAAAGTTTTAATTTCCATCGTATTGAAGCTCATCATCGCGTAACGCTTGCGCGAGCAAGTCATAAACGTTTAAAACTTGATTTATCTCTCGCTCTGCGTTCATCGCAATGAGAACAAATTCGCCACCACCGCCGCCGCCGTGCGAACGCTTTATTACAGCATGAGCGCATCTAGCACGCCCGCACCTACGTAATTGGCGCAATTCCGTAAGTGTTTCCATTCAATTTTCTTTTTATTACGTGCTCGCCAGCCATTCTCCCACCGCCTCATCGCACGCGTTTCTCATCCCCCTGCGCATAACGGGATACATCACGTTGTTTACGGCCGTTTTGACACGTTTCACGACACCCGGGAGTCCGTGATGCGTTGCAATTTCTTCATCCTTTGGAAGTCTAAGGGAGGGATCGCATTGGTCAAAAATTATCGCGTACACCACGGACAATGTAGTCCTCCTTAGATCTAGTAAAGTAAGTCCTAAAGATGTTCTATTCTATATAGTAAAAAAAAAAAACATTTTGTGTTAAACACCCACAAATATAGAACGGTCCACTCAAATTCAAATTTTGCGTTAAATTTTTAACACATTCAAGAATTAATTTAAATATTTTATGTTAAATAAAAATATTCAACATTTCTTAATTCAAAATAATTTATAAGTAAGTGAACAAATAATATAAAAATAATGTATTTTTAAACGTAAATTTTAAAATAAATGAAAAAAAATACGTGTTAATTTAACATATTATTATAAATGTTAATGTCACTGAAAAAATATGCTTTCAAAGTTTGCTTATAAATTGTTTTAATGTTATATTTTTTATCCCAATTTGTTTACATAATATTTGTGTTATTTTCTAATACATTTTCACTTGTGCAAAATTAACACAAAATTTAAGTGAAATGTGTTAAATTTAACAAATTTTCCATTTTTGTACTACAAAAATCATATAATGTACGACAGCTGT